ATCTGTGACTCAGGCAGTTTTGCACGTAAGCCACGCCCATCCGTCCTCTGCTCTGTTCTTAACATTTGGACTACATCCTCCTTATGGTTAGAATATGGACAGTAGTCATGAAGATACAAATGCTTTCTTAAAGGGGGCCCACAAGCCCTGAATAAGCCAACAGGGATTCAGAGCAGGTTCTAAGCTATGCTGGCCACAGAACGGGGAGGGAGAAGGGAGGGACCAGAACTGGGCTGAGGACCTAATCGCTAGTCTTGTCTCTGCCAATAAAACCCTTCATGACCCTGGACAAGGGGCAAATCTCTAAGAGCCTCTAAAATGGGGTAACTATGCCTTCTGCCTGCTTTTATACTTACGTGAACAGAGAACATTGTGTAGTCAGGTAGGAGGCAGGAAGCAGAAGATATCCTTTTTGTATTGATAATTTTCCCAAGGCACTAGATTTCTGGGCCAGCCTAAAATTGGAGAGACAACTAAAAACAGCTGATGTGTGACTGCTATAAACACCCTCAGGGTTTCTGGCTAGGGTCTGAATTTGCTCTTTCAAAAATGTCTACTGTAAAGCTCAAAACTCAGCAGATGTCTACTGAGCGCCCAGCTTGTGCACTCACCACGCCAGACTTGGGGAGACACAGCAGCGAGCCTGAGAGGCAGCATTCACTGACCGCTTCCTATGTATATCAACTTATTTACATCTTCACTATAACCCTATAACTGCAGTACTAACGTGATCCTCATTTACTTAAAGGAGAACACTAGAGTACAGATTGAGAAATGTTCAAGGTCACAGAAGCAGTAGAGCTGGAATTCAAACTGGGGAAGACAGTTTCTACTATGGATGTTTTGACATCAAAGCCCTGTGTAGGGACTTAGGAACCTGCCAGATAGCACATTCTCCAGCCCTTCCTCCAATGGAGACTTAGCTAAAGTCCGGGGCCCTCCCTCTGGTGGTGCTGCCCTAACTAAGCGACCTTCTTGCTCTCTAATTTCCAAGTAAACATATTTGCAGAAATATGTTAACTTCCACATTTTAATTGAGATAATGCAACAGTGCTGCCAAATCATAAGTGGGAGTTTTTGCATCCCCATGTCATTATTTCCCATGGGAGCATGACCCTCATGAGACAGCACTGATGGGACAAATACAGCTGAGAGCCTCTACTTGTAGGTCCGTGAACCACAAAGCTGAAGATCATAGCTAATGCAACAAACACCGAACATTCTGTTAAAGAACCACGTTGAAGGACAACCACGTCTTCTCTTGCCCATAAAGCCATTCCTAGCTGCTTCTAATCTCTTCCCCATCATAGTATAAACTACACAATTTTGAACTCAATCATGTACATTGTATACTGGTTACAGTCGTAGAGGCCTCGGTCTAAGACTCAAGTCTGTAAAATGTGACCAGGGACTACGCTCAAGCATTTTCTAGGACTATGTTAAAGCTCATAATAGAGGCTCAAGTCCTTAATTGATTAATGGATCCAAAGAGTTAATTAGCATGTTTATTGGACACAGGCTCACTCAATACAAGTTGATTTCTTGATGTTTCCTACACTCATGTTCTTATTTTTAAAAAGACTTTATCATTTTCTTGATGAGACCCCCATAAAGAAAAAGTAAACACAGACCTTTCGTTCAAAAAGTACACCGTCTGGGAAAGGAGGAAAAAAGTTAACTTGTAGGAAGAACTTTAATAGCCACCAGAGGGGTAAATGCCATTGTAACTTTATGGGCTTGCTTTGGCTAGGATAAATTTAGAGTCTAGATAAATCACACACACTCTGAAATCTTAACTACTGGTAAAATAATACACTCCATGTCAGAGTGTAACACGGAGCAAACATGCCCTCTACGCTTAAGCTGCCAAAGGCGTTCGCTCAGTGTTTCATCAGCTTTGGGGACTTGGCTCAATGCACATGGGGTAGAGTCCCTAGAGACAGGCCCTGTGATTACGATGAAATCCTACAAGGAAGGAAAGCTACACATGTAGGAAACAACGTAGTGTATAACATGGTAACATAAGCTCAATTGTTTGAGACAGATCAAGAGCAGTGGTAACTCAGAAAACCACTGTGGTCACAGTGGCTGCTAGAGTTATCTGCTCTTCTTTCGAGTTTATAGCCTCTAAATGTATAGTTTTCTTCCTTACTTAGATGCCAGATTTGGAAAGTTCAGCCACATCTGTAGACACCACCGGGATGATGAAAGGGCCCAGACTTTGAAGTCAGACAAACCCAGGTCTGAACCTCGAGTCTCCCGTGTATTAACTTTGTGACCCTGGGCAAGTGGACTTAATCCGAGCTTCCGTTCTCTCTGTAAAACTGAGGCAACACACATGCTACAGAATGGCTTTGAGGATTACAGCTGTATGTACATAAAGTGCATAGGACACTGGTGAATGTATAGTAAATCCTCCAACTGTCGTTTAATATAAGGCTTAAGTGGAAAGGTGCCGCTTACGTAAAACCACGGAAAACATAAGTGTACAAGCGTGGTGGGGTCCAGGACAGAGTATTCCGACCCCATCTCTTTTCCATATCACCTCAGTTTCCATATGACTTTTAGGAATAATGGCAAATCAGATGTTACATCTACTATACCTCCATGTCAATGGGTTTTCGAAAGCCAGTGTTAAAAGACCACCTTGTAAATTCAGGAGTGACTTCCGGTATGCATTCTCTTCAGCAAAAAGCCATTCACCAGAGACATCTGCTAAGAGTGGGATTCTAGGCAGTCAGAAAGCATTCCCAGAACAATAGTAGCTCCGCTACGATACTTTCACTTTAATTAAGGGTCATCCAACAAGTCCACGAGTCCGATTTCCTGGAAGGCTGGTTCTTTGTCTGATTTTAAGTTACTGTGGTAGAAGAGCTAACTCATGTGCAGGGGCCTCTGAGCTCCTGAGGATCTGTCCAAACAGGTCTGCACCATGACTCTGGTTTCTATAGCAGCGCTTCAAGCCTTAATGCATATCTCGTTAACATGCACGTTCTGATTCAGGAGTTCTGGGCAGGGGCCTGAGACAATACAAGCTCCCAGAAGATGCCTGTGCCAGACCACACCGGGAGTAGCAAGGGTCTACAGGGCCGGAACAATCAGAATTCACAGACCGAAGAGCACACAGCATTCCTCCATTCTTGGGGCTAAAACGGGGGCAGGAACTGCCAACTAACTGTCTTTAGGAAGGTACTAAACTATGGCAATTGTATAAAACCAATGAAGTACACACAGAACTCTTAAAGGAAAACCAAAAAAACATTCACAGGGACCATTACCATTTTCTTCAGCTGAAAACATCCTCCCACTCCTCTAAGCTCTTTTCTCCTAGAAATAAGATATCCTTTTTGTTAGCTCTCTAAGCTGTTTGAGTAGCTATTAACGAAAACATATCAAGACACTGCTAATGTCTCCCACAGAGGCTTAGTACAGAAAAACACCAGTTTTTAAATTCTGTTAAAAAAAAAAGTAACAGCGTAACAAGTAACAGCTTAAGGAATGAAATCAGCTTCGAACACTAATGAGACACCAATGGTTTCTGAAAATCGGACGTGCATTCTGTAACTGTCACTGACTTATGTGCAGTCTGACCTTCAGGGACCAAATAAATGAGCAAGCCATCTCAGGGATACGTTCCATGTTAGATTAGAGGTTTTATGCTGCGGTGACAACGGAAAAAATGTGTCCTAACAAATAGTGTGGATGAAACACAGGGCTAGCACCAGGTCAGGTCTCCAGATGGGTGACCTTACTTACCCAGTTAACCTCTCCAAGTCTTCACCTGCCAACTGAACCATACTCTCTCCTCCCCACTAACTCACATGTCTCGTTCGGTATCACCACCCACTACCCAGAGAAGGCGCCCTTCCCAAGGCTAAGACTTGACTGTTGCTTCACTTAAGCAGCATGGTACGTGATGTAACTGATGGTGCCTTTGTACCCTAAATTGACCAGCCCTGTAACCATTTACACCTGAACCTTTGAGGTTTTTTTTTTTTTTTTTTTTTTTTTTACAGCTCAAAGGATTCATCTCCTACCGCATCATTAGTGCAACTTCCTTCTCTTTCAAGTTCACTTTTGAGGATTGCTGTGTTACTTTATACTACCCAATAGTTAGCCTGGCACCCCAAACAGTGCACAATTCCCAGAGACAGAAATGGAGTCTGGTGGAGTGTGTGATCCCTGTACCTCCCACAGAACCTTTAAAAAGCAGGCAACTCATAAGCGCTTATGGTGGGTGCCTCCTTCCAATGAGGGCACTGGCACAGAAGCCTATGGTGACAAGTCAAACCTCACCTCCAGAGACTGCAAGCAGGGAACAATGATTCACCTTGTTGAGAATCAGAACCACCTGGGAGCATTTTTAATACTATACAGTCCCTAGCCCTATTCATGCTTAGCTTTAACGAGCACCCAAGCTCTGTAAGCTGAATTTTCAACAAAACTGATCCTCTTCTTGTGGCTCAACCATCTTGACACTTTTCGCTTTCCCTTAACCCAAGTCATGCCCGCAGTCCTCCCCCATCCTCCTGCCCACAGAGGCCGTGACACCGTTACACTCTGTCCTGGCAGAAAGTCAAAAGATAGTCAAGGACCAAGGATTTCCTGGTTGTATGCCTTTAGGTTTTCAAAACAAACGCAAAACCAGCCATTCACCTTTGCTATGCCGCACTGTTTACACCCACCATCCGACCCGCTTTCTTTACGAAACTTTCAACGTTTTCTCCCCCCATCACGCAAGTATTCAAGGAAGCAATAAACCACCTCTCCTCAGGTTCTAAGAGCACAAACTCTAGGTGCCGCCGCCACTCAGTTGCCCATCGTTGCTCCGGTGCAGAAACCACACGCAAAAGAAAGCGTTTGCACCAAGGAGCACTCACTCAGCACCCACCACCGTGGCCCCGGTCCCCGAGCGGATCTCCAAGCCCCTCCTGCGCGGCGCCGCCTCCCCAAACAGCCCTGGCGCGCACGGACGGACTCGGCGGAGCCCCGAGACTTACCTGAAGCACGTCGTGAGCTCGCCTGAAGGCTTCAGACACGGGTATGTGGTCGTGACGATTTTGTTTTCCGAGCAAATTTCTCTGTGGAAAAAGTTGGAGGAACTTCGTTGGTTCTCCGCTGGAGAGCGGAGGACAGCGCGCGTTGGGCATCCGCGTCCCGCGCGGCGACCAGGCGCTGGTTCCCCCAACGCGGGCGCGGCGCCGACTCCAGGGTCAGGGATGGATCCGGCGAGGGTCCAACGCAGGGAGCCCAGGCCCAAGGGAAAGAAAAGGTGAAGAAGGGGGGCACTGGAGGGCGGCAGGAATGCGGCGCGCGGGTATCTCGGTGCCCCGACCCACAGACGGAGGAGCCAGGGCTAAGGGCGCGGAGGGTCTCACCCGGGAGCAGAGTTTAACGTCAGCCAGAGCAACTGAGCGCCCGGGGAAGCGAGGGCGTGAGGCTCACCGCTGTGGGGGGCAAGGGGCACCGGCTGCACCACAAGAGCCGGGGCGCACCAAGCAGGGACCGGCAGCGCTTACCTGTCGCCGTTCTCGGGCTCCTCTCGGTAGCTCCACGTGTGTCCCAGGGCCAGGAGCAGCAGAAGCGGACCCAGGCTCTTGCCCAGCTGCCCCCTCGCCGCTCCTCCCCGGCTCGGAGGCGGCGGCACCATCAGGGAAGCTCCCGGCTTCTTCCCGGCGCGGAAGCTCTCTCGCCGCCCTGCGCCCGGCTCCTCCGCGCCCGCCGCCGCTTTCCCTCTTCCCGGCAGGGGGCGCCCGAGGGCGGGGGCGTTTGCGCCACCTGCGCGAGGCACCGGGGTTGGTGGCGCCGTGGTGTTGAGGGGGATTAGGCTAGGGATTGGGGGTGCAGACTGCCAGCTCCGAAGAGAGGCCGGGAAATGGGGCGCCTGCGGTGCCCAGCTGGCGCGACGGTCGCGGGGTCCAGGCCGTCTCGCTCGGGAGGTTCACGCCGGAGAGACGAAGTCGCTCCACGCGGCTTGGGGCGGCGCCCTTGCCGCCTGCTTCTTCCTCCGCCGGGCGCCGCGCGCAGGGTGCGGAAAGCAGGCGGCCGCTTTCATTTTACCCCGGGGTCGCACGCCCGGGAGGAGGAGCCGATTCTCACCCCGGGAAAAGGGAGGGGGAGCAGAGGGGTTAATAAGCTTCCTTCCTGTTGTCGGTTGCTTTCCAAGGACCGGGGTCAGGCTAATCTTTGGCTTCTCCCCTCGAGCGCCTACACTGTCCTTTCCCGCTACCTCGGTTCTCCTTAGTAGAATAAGGGAGGAAGAAGGAGGTGAAGGCTCCAGCGGCTCTCCCAAACTGCCTTCTCTGAAACCTGAAATGGTTTCACCATTTCTAGAGCGTGGTCTGTCTTTATTAAAGCTTTAGTCCTCCGGTCGAACAAGCAACCAGCTCTCCTCAGCTTTTTCTGGGCGCCGGGGGGTTTAAATCCTCTTGCCCTGAGCAGCTTTAATGCTGCTTCAAAACCACGTACGCATGCGAGAGCTGGAAACTCCTGGAAGATCAGGTGAGACACGGAAGGGGGCCGTTAATCAGCGCCTGCCCCCTGCTAGTTAACGCGGGGTTGTCAACGGGTATTCTGAAAACCCGGGCTGCGGGGCGGTACGGTAAATCAGCTCACCTGGTGGTGACCCAATTGTAACTCATATATATACGCCTGCATCTTCACACTTTGTTGCACGTTAGGCGTTTCTGTGCCTGTTAAAGAGAAGCTCGTGATATAAACGTGCCCCGCTGAGCAAGCAAGTGGTCGTGGCCCAGAAATAAGTTGCAAGAGCAGGAGGTTGCCCGAGGAGGTGAAAAGGTAGCTTGTTCACAAGTTACCGTTGTGCTAATTGGTTAGGTGAGCAGGTGTTTTGATTCAAAATATTCTGGGCAACTGAGAATCACCGTGCATATCACATACATCTCGACATTTTAAAATAGCAATGGTATCCTCATTTCTCTGTAGATTGCTTTTGTATTTTCCAAAGGTTTTTCACATTTACGATTTTATTTGATACCATATCCCTTGAAACTAGGAGTCCAACTTCAGCGAGGTGGGTTTCTTTCCTACAAAACTTAGACATGGCAGAGCATAAAACACACTTGATATTGAAATACGGTGCTACATACAAGAGAAGTGAATTTTCACGTGGTAGTTCAGGAGACACTTCAGAAGCTTGCCAAACCTGCCAGTGACCATCATACAGTCAGGGAAAAAAACAACAAATAAACCTGGATTCAAACCCAGGCTGTGTGGCTTCCTTGGTCTGTGACCTTGCATAAGTTACGTGACCTTGTGCAAGTTACCTAACCTTTCGGAAACTCAGTTTCCTCATCTGTAAAATGGAGAAAACTCCCTGAGTGTTTAAGAGTAATAAATGAGGTAACGCATATGATGTTTTCACAGTGCCTGGCGTATATTGAGCGTTCAGTAGACATTAACTGTTACCATTTTTAACCTAAATGATTATATTGCACAGGATTTTCAGTTTTAACTTTCCAGCTTTCTGCTTTCTAGATAGTTTATTTCACAACAGTTGTTTGGGTTCCTAAAGAGATACCTCTCTAAGCACTTGAAAAATAAACCCATGGTGGAGATTATAAAAATTGTATCACTTTAGATTGTGCCCAAAAAAAGTCTCCGTCTTGCAGAGAAGAGGCCATTCTGTAGAAGGTTCTATTTCATTTTTCTTTCTTTTTTTTTCTCTTTTTTCTTTTTTTGGCCAAGTCATGCAGCTTGTGGGAATCTTAGTACCAAGACCAGGGATAGAACCCATGCTGCCTGCAGTGGAAGCTTGGAGGCCTAACCCCTGACTGGACCACACACAAGGCGAAGTCCCTAGGAGGTTCTATTTTTATTTTCTTACCTATTGCTCTATTTCGATATCTGGCTATCTTTTTTTCTCCTCTTTACTGGATTTTGCTTTTCTACTGTTGTGTTGTGGGTCTTAGTTCTACAAGTAGGAGAGAATGGCATAGGAGATTTGTTTTCGGCTTCCTTAAATAGTTAATAAGCCACATATGGGGACGTGCAACTACGGAGAAAGTAACTCAGGCTGCAAATGATAAAAGCAAAATCATGTCTGTTATGCACAGCTGTGTGGCGGAAGATTGGGGACTGAGCTGACTTTGAGGCCTCCTTATTTTCAGCCCCTCCACTGAGCACAGATGAGAATGAGGTGTCAGAGGAGGTGCTGGGGTCCAGCAAACAGGCCAGGTTTGCCTGGGAGGAAACCCCGAGGCTGGGTGGTCAGGGGGCATTTCTGGAAGAGGTGAGCTGGAGCAGAGACCTTTTTTAAAACCTTTGCCTGGAGGCCTGGAATTTAAACTCACTGGCAGCTACTGACCGCACAAGACATTTCTTGTGGGGCTTTGGGAGCTGGGCTGGAAAGCACAGCCGAGCGGAAGGAGATATGGATGGCCTGTATGGATTCCAGTCCCCTGAAAAGTTAAACACTCCTGTAAAAGACGAACCCTGCACTGGCTCAGGCTGCAGCCTGCATGGGAGATGTCGGAATGCAGCTGAGTATGGCAGGGACCTCTAGGGTCTTCGGTTGTCTCTCCTGAGACCCTAACTCTCTCCCCAACCAAGCATAAGCTCCCCAACGATCTGCCCCATTCCCTCACTTAAGAAACACTGGCTGAGAGGACGAACCCCCTGCCTCTTTCATAGGCGTGTTACAAAGACTGATGATACGGACCTAAATGCTTCTCGGGGGGAGGCTCTGTATGATTATTTCTCTTCAGCATAGCACTGTCTGCGATGTTTTCCATATAGGCCTGTCAGCTTCCCTGAGACAGAGCAGAGCGTGCATAGTTATACAATTTGCCATGTCCTAGGGGTACGAGGCTGTACCAAGGGCTTTGAATGCAGACTGTGCTGTAGGTTCAACTCCCTGGTGGGCCAGGTATTGTTAAGGGCTGCTGAGTTGTCTGGGGCTGGGGGGAGAAGGGGGGTTGACGGGCTGGAGAACATAGAGGCCAGTATACACAAGCAAAGTGAAAAAACTAGGCCATCGGGCAGAGAGTACCCTTGGAGATAAGAACCACTCTTTTTTTTTTAATTTTTAGCTTTTATTTTTTTAACTGAGGCAAATTGACATGTAAAGTATGAGTTTCAGGTGTACAACATAATGATTCCATATGTTATCTATAGCAAAATGATCAGCATAGCAAGTCCAGTTAATCCATCACCGCACAAAGTTACCACTTTTTTTTCTTGTGATGAGAACATTTAAGATCTCCTCTCTCAGACCTAACTCTCAAATATACAATACAGTATTATTAACTATAGTCACCATGCTGGACGTTATATTACCAGGACTTATTTATTTTAGAGCTGGAAATTTGTACCTTTTGACCACCTTCACCCATTTTGCCCACTCCTTTTTGAGGAACTCCAACATCTTATTTGGAGAAGATCAACATCGTATTAGAGAAGAACAATCAATAAAAAGACAAATTAAAGGGCAAAACACCACCAAGTGGGGACACAGTTCATTCCTCTATTATTTGTTTGCTTAAATTTTTTCCTTATGAAAGGGATTTATGGTGGCTGAAAAAAATACATACTGTTTTACAGTGTACACATTTCTTTATATAGTATATGCATTATTTATAGTATTATATATGGCATGGAGCAGGATTAGATAAAGCAATTAAAGCAAAGGAAGGGGCTTCCCTGGTGGCGCAGTGGTTGAGAGTCCGCCTGCCGATGCAGGGGACACGGCTTCATGCCCCGGTCCGGGAGGATCCCACATGCCGCAGAGCGGCTGGGCCCGTGGGCCATGGCCGCTGAGCCTGCGCGTCCTGAGCCTGTGCTCCGCAACGGGAGAGGTCACAGCAGTGAGAGGCCCGCGTACCGGAAAAAAAAAAAAAAAAAAAAAGCAAAGGAAGAATCAGGATAGGGCAATAAAATTAAGCTGAAGTGAAGTTAGTTTGCAGGATTGTGTAAGTCCTCTGCTATGTTTAAAGCAGATCACAAATCACTTCTCAGATTCTCAGACATCGATTCAGTATAACTGCATGATCAGTTACAAGATTCAAGGTAGCCATGAATAAAAAGCCTATAAATTTCTCCAAAAACATCACAGATTTTTCCTGTTGGTCTCCCTGGAATATAGCAGCAGTCATCTAAAGGTATTTTCATAGAAACAAGACCCAACAAGCATGGGTAGAGCCCCTACAGAACTGTGAGTGATTCACATATACCATATATCCCTAGAATAAACAGGTTACCCTGATACCTTTCCTTCAGTTTCAGTTTTGATTGACATATGGCCAGGTCTGCTTAGGGAATTAAGGGTAAACCTTGAAGACTATTAAAATGCTCCAGTCTCCAAGCCATTGTGAGGAAATGCTCAAGGCAAGAAGACTCAAACATGTTCACACAGTAAAAAGGTTTTAAAGCCCTGGTTTTGGGGTGTATACAACTATCTTTGCACTTAGTCTACCTTCATTTTAACTTGTACAAATTCTGAAAGTGTATTGAAGCTGTGGGTCTCTGGAATTTTCTCCCAAGACAGGAAGAAACATCTGATTCCTGTCTGTGACAGAATCACACAATTTTCTCCAAACTCTGAAATAAAGGTAATGTTAAAAGATTAGTTAACCTTATATGTATATAGGTGGCTAAAAGAAAAATGTACAAAATTTTTTAAAAAAGAGAAACTTCTTGTTACTTGGTTGAATGTCTCAGAAACATCAAGAAAAATTATTCATGTGATTTGGGTGTCATGTTCTTGAAAGTTCTAACACATACACACAAACACACTCTGAGTCCCTGTCTGAGGTTTGTTCCAAAAGGAGTTTGTCGAGACCATGGGTGTCGGCAGTCTCCTTGACTAGTCACAGCTGCGGGATCAAACCCAGGGTTTCTAGAAGAGCGTTCTAGCTCCATTCAATTCTGCAGCTCCTTGTGGGACAAATGGGGAAGGCAGGACGTGCAGCTGGGAGGGCCCCATCTCTTGTGGTCCCCACAAGCATGAAAAGGAAGGATGAGGGGCTGGCATTAGAGGTATGGCCACCAGCCCCATGTTATGAGGTCTCTGGTAGAGAACGTGGCATTAGAATTAACCCAGAATTTATGAGCTGACTCCTTGGAGTATCAGCCATTTCTATACCACAACTTCTCTGCTTTATTTTTGTAGAGCTTACTCTCTTTATACCCCTTACCTCCATAGAAGTAAGAGTTTTTATTTAATATTTATTGAGAACTTGGAGATACTTAGCTCAGTAATATGGTATCAAGCCAATTTGACAGGTAATAACAATGTTGACTTTAATAAAAGTTTTCTTATTTGAGCCAAGGTATCTTTTATGGTGGAATAAATATAATGCCCATGCTAGCAGAGAACGGGTACTTACTTATTAAAAGTACCTACTTATTACTTATTAAAAATATTTTTTCCTGTGGATATGAGGTTTACTTTACCTCCCTCCTTTTAAAAAATGGACTTAGAGAAATAACACTGGGAAAAGAAAGGAATTAGACTTAAAAATTAGAGCTACCTAGATTTGAAATCCAGCTCCAAAACCTAAAACCTTTATGACCCTGAACAAGTTCCTGGGATTCAGTTTATCCACAGGTAATTAGAAACAACGATCTCCAAGTCACAGGATTTTTGAAAAAAGTAAATGAGATACATAACGTGGCTGTTGCATCAGAGATAATAAATGAAAGAAAATATTTTAATTGTTTATCTTTGAAAATTTGAGTGCAGTTCTGGTGGGCCATCCACTCTGTCACATTTAACTTACTTTCCATAAAAGATTCCTTGTGAAATGGATGGCTAAGGATAGAGACGTCCTGTCACAGGACAGACTAAACTAAGTAGCAGCATTCACATTGCTGTCACTACCGTTGTGCTTTTTTTTTTAAGATTATTTTTATTTATTTTTTGGCTGCATTGGATCTTCATTCCTGCATACGGGCTTTCTCTAGTTGCTGCTAGCGGGGGTGACTCTTCATTGTGGCGCGCAGGCTTCTCATTGCGGTGGCTTCTCTTGTTGCGGAGCACGGGCTCTAGGAGCATGGGCTTCAGTAGTTGTGGCATGCGGGTTCAGTGGTTGTGGCACACGGGCTTAGTTGCTCCGTGGCATGTGGGATCTTCCCCAACCAGGGATCGAACCCATGTCCCCTGAATTGGCAGGCGGATTCTTAACCACTGCGCCACCAGGGAAGCCCCTACCATTGTGCTTTAATTAAATGTTAGCGGGTGACTAAGGCCCTGGGTAAGTCAAGTCCATTAACAGTTGCTAGAAATTAGAATGTACATACTTTGCCTTAGAGAATAGTTGTGCTTCTGAATATTGTGCCTGTCTGACTTTTATATATTTTAAACCAAATCATGGTCTAAGTGTGTTCAAGGAACTGGCTAGTTAAAACCCAGCTGTGGTCAGCTCTAGAGTGGTGTGAGCGCTCTCTTCAAACCTGTGCATCCGCGTGACTGCATTATTTCCTGTTGAACGTTTCTCACTGGGTCAGGCTGGGAAAATTTGCAGCAGAGTAATGGGCCCTGCCTAAGGAGGCCACAGTCTTCCGGTAGGGCAGTTCTGTTTAAAGAAAATGAGGCAGTCCATATGATGCAGAAAAGTCTTAGCACTCAGGGTAAAGGTTGTTAGAGTCTGACAGAACACGCAGTACATCTGTTAACCACAATGAGACCTATTCACGATAAAATACCAAGAAAGCCACATTCCTGAATGCTTTTAATGGATGATGATAATTTTCCAAGAATTTGGCAGAAAGAATAACAACAAATACTTACTGAGCACTTGGTACATGCAGATTTTATTTATTTATTTATTTATTTTTGGCTGCGTTGGGTCTTCATGGCTGGGCACGGGCTTTCTCTAGTTGTGGCGAGTGGGGGCTCCTCTTCGTTGTGGTGCGCGGGCTTCTCATTGCGGTGGCTTCTCTTGTTGCAGAGCACGGGCTCTAGGCGCGCAGACTCAGTAGTTGTGGCTCTCGGGCTCTAGAGCGCAGGCTCAGCGGCCATGGCGCACGGGCTTTCCTGCTCTGCAGCATGTGGGATCTTCCCGGACCAGAGCTTGAACCCGTGTCCCGTGCATTGGCAGGCAGATTCTTAACCACTGCGCCACCAGGGAAGCCCCATGCAGATATTTTTAAAAGCACTTTACAAGTATTATCCAGTGGTTAGGACTCTGCACTTCCATTGCAGGGGACACAGGTTCAGTCCCTAGTCCGGGAACTAAGATCCCGCATGCCACACAGCACGGCCAAAAAAAAACAGAAAAAAAAAAGAAAGTCTACAAATATTATCTCATCTAATCCTTATTATAATCCTCTGTCACTGATTCTATTATCACCTGCTTTTTACAGGTGAGGAAACTGAGGTAGAGATTTTAATTCACTTGCCTAAGGTACAGAGTTATGAGTAATGAGCTGGGTTTGAATTGGGGCATTTTTAGCCCCAGGGTCCATGCTCTTAACACTACACTAAACTGCTCTTTGGAGAAGTAAGAATCTGGGCAGTTTTCTCCTAAGAGACAGACTACATCCAGGATGTTTGCCCAGGGATGTAATGAGAACCAGGGAAAGCCCAAGGTCCACCATGATAATCAGTGACACTGAGACTCTATCACGGTTCGTGCTCAGGCACGATCCTTCCTCAGCAGCTCTATGCCAACCAACTGACCCCATAAGTCCTCACCTTTGTATATTAGCTGACTTCTTTTTTTGCAGCAATGCTGAGCTTTATCCACGGGACCTGGCCTCGTGGAGCTAGAGAGTCTGCTGAGTTACGTGGGAATGCTGACATGAGAAGATTGAGATACAGTTTCCAAACCCTTGGAGCTCTGGCACGTTTGCAAACCATCCTTCCATTCTAGCCCTGGACCTGAGACAGGTCTTTATCAGACCTAGAACTGTCACGGAACTAGGCTATCAGGAAAGCATGCAGGGGTGTTGGGGTGAGGGGGGGCATTTTTGTAGTCACCACGGAGAAATACCTAGGCAAAATGCTTTGAAAATATCAGAGTCCAGCGTAGTCCCGTGGAATCAGCTTCTGGTTGGAAACTGATTCTTTGAGATCTAGAAAGAATAGTGGAGGGTAAGCAGTTGCAACCAAGGTTTGCTCGAGAAAGCTGGAAGAGTTTTGAATCCCTCTCTCTTTCTCTCACCCTCCCTCCCTCTCACCGCCCCTCCCCCTCCACACACACAATCCTCAGAGGTTGTGGGCTTGTGGATGTTTCAGATCAGCATGGGTTTGCATTCTTCCATCCTAATCTTTACCAACAATGCAGAATCCCAAAGGAATGTCAGATAAAACGAGCGGCCTTGGTTTAGGTTCGTTTAATCCACATGCGTCCCGTTTGGTTTGGGGTGTATCAGGGCAATTGTTTACCTTCCTTCTGCCTGATCCGTGATGTTTAGACCTGAGGTGTACCTTTTAGTGTTGTTTCTTTGGTTTGATCGCTGATGACCGCCTTGATAGTTCATCAAAAAGGGAGTTGGGACATGTCAAGTCTTCTTTCAGTTCCAGCATTTATCTGTGGGATAATTATAATGAGCCTGAAAGTTATGTGTATGTAGCCTGACATGTATTTGGCTCTCAAATCCTCACGTCCTGATACAAGACTAATGGGCCAGACCCCTCGTGTCAGTAACCCGTCATTAAATCCCCGAGTGACCCGCTTTGAAGTCCATTCCCTCTCAGGCTGTGTCCTTCCTTCTTGGCCAGCCATCCCTGCTTTCCTTTGGAGTCTTTTTCTCTCCTGTTTCTGATTTCTGCTTCTCCTTCTGGTCCGTTCTTCTCTTTCATCAATCATTTTGCTGTAATTCTTCCTTTGGTCAGATTCTGTCCTTTCACCCACCAACTTTCACTTTCTGTCCCCCAGCTCGACTCCCTGGTCTCTTCTGCTTTCCTTCCGCTGCTCTGCCCTTCCTTAAAGTGTGTCCTTCCCCAAGTGCACAAGTTTAAAGTACGTTCCCTCCCCAATCCTTTTTCTTCTGTGAAATCATTGGTACTCACCCGGGGGGGCAGTTCTGTCACCCAGCGGAAATTCGACAACATCGGAGACATTTCAGGTGTCACAGCTGGGGGGCTGGGCACTCTGGCATCTAGTGTGCACAGGCCGGGGTGCCGCTCCTGCAGTGCACAGGGCAACCTCCACCCCACATCCCACAGCAAAGAATTGTCAGGCTTGAGATGTCCGCGGTGTCAAGGTTGAGAAATACTGCTCGAAACAGATACTCATCCACCTCTCACTCTCATTTTTCATCTTCTGTTTCCAAATCCCTGTTGCTTCATCCTCTTCTGCTCCGAGCCTGCCCTGGAGTCCAGCTCCCATCTTCTCATCGCTTCTTCCTGGTCATGGCATCCACCCCCTTGGCGGAATCTCCTTTACGCCTTTAAACGTGGTCAGATCTCACCTCTTAGACTCTTTGTCTCCTGGCTTCGTGTTCCTATCTTAGTTCAGCAGTTACCTTATCTCTCCGCTGTCCTGCACTGATGAGAGGAACTGTGAAAATATTTTTCTTAGAATTCTGTTTATCTTCTCAGTTTTCCCAAACCCAAAGCAGCCCTTAAACGTTCTGGTTTCAGACTCCCTCGAGTATATCGGACAGCCGTCTGTGCTGACTACTCTCGCCCCTTCCTGCATGCTTTCCTCAGCTCACCTGCTGCTGGCCGCAGCGGTTGCTCTGGTCCTTTCTTTCCAATGTTGATGTTTATGTGTTGCTTGCGTTGGCGTGGCATGGCGTGGTTGTGCCCGCTCTTCTCCTGCTGTAAGAGAAGGGAGAAATACATTCCCTACCTTCATTCATTAAAAAACAAACAAAAAATAAAATGATTTTGCTGTGTTTGCTGTACGACAGGCAATGTTGGATGTGTTAGCAACTAAAATAAATAAGAGAACAAATGTCCCCGGAGAGTTCCAGCTCTGACCCGGAGGCAAGCGAGACACCCAGCCACAGCTAAGCTGGGTGCTGCATGCAGGAGGTGAGGGGTGATCAGAGCAGAAAGGAAAGAGCACCTTGTATGAGTTTCCTGCGGCTGTTACAAGAACTGACCACAGTGTAGTGGCTTACAACAACAGAAATTTATTATCTTGTAGCTCTAGAAGTCAGACGTCCCAGACCAGTCTCACTGGGTTAAAATCACAGTGTCAACAGGGCTTCTTTCCTTCTGCAGGATCTGGGAGCAGGTTTGCTAGGGTTTCACTTCCTTTGAAGACTCCAGCGTAGAACTGGTTGCTTAAATGTTTGCAGTAATGAACGCTGAATGAATTCGTGGATAAAGGAGGTGGGCAGCCTTCATGGAGTGGGGATAGCAAAGCAAGGACACAGGAATCAGAGGCCAACAATCCTCAGCTTCCTTCCCACAATCCTCGTAGCTAAGATCCCTCTTTTACAGATGAGTGATCTGTGAAGTGTGGCCATCCACTTGGACCCCAATGTAGCCTAGTGGAATTGCCACAGGAAGCCAAGCAAGCCGCATAGCTTCCCCTCCCTACTCCCAGCACCCAAGCCCAACATTCTGAAAAAGACCACTGTCATTGGAGACTCCTGCGTTTGACCCCAACGCACAAAACACCCGTGACTCTTTCAGGAGCTCCCATACCACGGGTAACAGCTCCGCGCCTCTGTATTTATTTATTTCTCACTTCTTGCAAAAACACGATCAACATTCAATCAAGTCTCAAAGGAAAGGGTCAGAAGACAAGTGGTTTCAGTCACCTCCACTTAACAGCCGCTTCCTACAAAAACTGTTTTCTTGCTCTTCAGGCCAAACTGTTGTCCTCCATACAATTAATAAGTCAGAGCGGGCTGAGTTGTGTCATTGATTAGGAAACTTTACCAGTCAGGAGTTATTAGGCCTTGTCTCTGGAAATCAGGACATTTCTGAACAGTGTGGAAGTTGCCCCAGCTCAATGATAGGCTGCCTTCACAACATTAAGACATTTGCAGCCAGCGGTAACTGCTTTTGAGGCCGGCTTTACTTTTCTTCTACCCTGAATTCCCTGAAATCTAAGGTCAAGGTTAAGAAAACTTAGAGCAGCTGTTTAGGGGATTGAAGGAAAACAGTAAGATTGAGCATAAGCCCTAAAAAGCCTGTCATTCCTGGGAGAGGGGGGACTTTTGTATAGAAAACTGGGTGTCAAAGGAAGACATTTTTTTCCCCCCCGAGATCCAACTAAGACCAACACAATTCGAAACTCCCTTCCCTGAGCATTACCACCTTATATTTTCCCACGAGATGGGCCTTTTCCCCATGGCTGTGGAGGGGGTGGGGATGTCCCTGAAAGGGCCATAATCCCGTTTGTGATATCACTATCTATCGCCAGGCTGGGGTGTCAGTGCCAGACTGGGGATTATGTGCACATTCTTCACGGCTCTGTGAAATTCTATGTGCTCATGGTGAGGACACGGGCCTCCCGGCGTCCCCCTGGATGTTAAGCTTGTGCCCCATCCTGCTTCAATAACAGCCCTGACAATCCTTTATCGACTGTTCATTATATCCCAAGAGCTGTTCTAAGTGATTTTCTGAGGTGATGTCATCCAGTTCCCCAGCAAGCCTGCCAGGTAGATATGATCATCCCCAATTTATAGATGAGGAAAACTGAGGCATGGAAAGGCCAGTCATGCCACCAAGGTCTCTGGATCAGTAAGTGGTGGGACCTGGAATCTGACACTGCCTGTCTGGTCTGGGAGAGCACATGCTTAGCCACTAAGGACTGGCTCTGGCTCTTATCTACAAAGGCTGTTTTGCATGAGGCGTCTATCCAGGCCGCCCTCCCCACCGAAACCTCATTTGGGTCTGTTACCATTATTTCACAGACTGGACTGATCTCCCTTAATGGCCTGAGTCATCAGGCCAGACAGCTTGGGCTTTGCCTGCAAACAAGGCCTGGGGGTCCCTTAAAGAAAGAGGAAGTGACTCTGAAGTTCATTCCGCACTGTGTCCTGCGGCATGTTCTTGCCATTTATGAGCAGTTGGCCAAGTTGGGTGATTTATTTAAGGTTCTAGGAGCGGTCCCCGTGTGAGCCAACGGCTCTGCTGAGCTCCGTGGCCACAGACTGTGCGTAATTCCAGGCAGCCACCTGAAAACTCATAAAGAGTCAAGAGGGACCTTGGCAAGCAAACAGAAGTGTACGCCTGCAACTGTTATCACAGTCAGAGAAACCTCAGGCACCCGGGGTTGGGGGCAGGGAGTGGGGGGTGAGGGATGGACGTGCAAACAAAAGGAGGACATGTTGCTACATTATTGGCAAGAAAATAATTCAGGGCCACTTAGGATTTGCCTAGAGCCTCGAGCCCTGGTTTAGGATTTAAGACAAGGAAATGTGTAAATCTCTGAATATTTCACTTCGGCCTCGTGCATAATACATTCCTAACAAATGACTGTTGAATAAAGAAAAGATTTATTTCGCATATCGTCGCGTTCTTCACGTGGGATGAACATCTCCTATTTGTTAAATGATTCCACCTTGAAGGAAGGGACTTGAGTATCTCCGTTTCACATGTCACTTATGATGTCATTTGCAAAGTTTTATCATCATCACCATGGTGAGGAGGGTCAGCTGCTCTGGGTTCCAAACCTGAGAGCTGGTGTCCGGTGTCCAGGTCAGCCTGTCTCACCCCGACCACATTCACTTGCCCCTCAGCTGGGCTGGGGGCTACAGGGTAGGTCAGAAACCTTGCTGGGCCCTCTGTTATTTGATTTTCTGGTTCTTTTCTATCAACCCAGCTTCTGAGGACTTCCAGCTGTAGCTGGCTTTCCTGAGGAAAAGCACAAGTAGCAGAGGAATGACTGAATGTGTAGGTGCCCCAGAAATAGAAATGGAAAGTAGACAGAAAACTGACACCCACCCCAGCAGGGGCTGAGCTGCCTCGCTGGGTGGGCTGAGGGCTGAAGCAGAGGCATCTGGAGATGAGGGTCCTAAGCGGTCTCTGCAGCTGGTGTTAAGGATGAGACATGGGCTTGGAATTCCATTTCCCTCTCTGTGAATCTGGGTCAATGCTCATGGCTTGGTCAATTATTATTCGTCTAATTAACGGATGGTTGTGGGTTTCTAGACCCTTTAGATTACAGTTCCTGAAGTTCTTCACTGCTTAGCCACGTCACCAGCCCTTCCCTCTCTGGAGGAGGGAAAGGAAATTGAATGAAAATTCCATCAGAAGCTTTCCCTATTGGCACAGTTCAGCTCGGAGGCCGAGAGGGAGAGGAGGTTGGAAGTTACTGTTTAATGAGATGTGATTGTTGGAGGTGGCCGGGTCCCTGCTGGGAGGTTACTGTAATCATGGTGAGGTCTGCCAGAGGCAATGGAGGGCAGACACCGTGGGGATGGGGTGGGGAAGGAGGCGTCTCTGTGCTTCGCTCTGAACCCCCTTGCCGCCCCCTTGCAGGCAGTCGTGAGGCTATGGCCTCACATTTAAGGATGATAGTGACAAATATTTTACGAGTATCAAAAAGGAACAGCGCCTTCCTCCATTCTCCAGGGCCAACAAGCCAATGAGACTGAATGGAAAGAGCTTTGTCATTTCCCCCAATGAAACATTAGGAAAAAACTTGTAAAAGAAATTTCACAGTGATGGAGTTAGTAAACTATTCTTTCCCATCGCTTGTGTTCCCCATCAAGGAATGCCATCCAAACGGTTTTCTGATGCCTCATATAATTCAATCATGAGAGTCAGCTGTTTGGTTATATTTTGTCTGGGTTTATTTTGCTTTGGGGGGAAGTGTTTCTGTACATAAATCATACATTTTAGGAACAAGTCAGAGAGAAGTGGTGGTCCTCACAGCAGCACGTGGTTGCAGATTGAAATCACAGTGCTCTAACCTCAGAACTCATGTTTTAGACACAGTCACAGATGGCCAAGGTTGTTTCTACTTATTCATCTTCCTCTAGCCTCCCAAAACGTCTTCCTGGAATATGCTCCTGGGGGGCGGGGGGGAGGTGAAGGGAGTGTTATTTATAATCTCACGTAATCCTCATTCTCATACTAAACCATCCAGTGGTTGCTTTCCACGGGAAGAATAACAGCTCACGTGAGTTGGAAGGAATGCAAGGGAGGCACTTGCCACTCCTGACACCTCCAACCTGCGTGCAATTTAGAAGAGTCTTGGCCTCCTGGGGCAAAGAGATGACGGCCCCTCACACACACTTGTCTGGGCCTCTATGGCAGTGCATGCTGACCTTGTGCAGGGACATGACGGGCAGTCCGACAAAGACAATGACAAGGATGATGGCTC